GTATTTTATATCAATTTAATAACAAATTTATTTATTTATTATTTACATAATTACACAGTCTTTCACTGGGCCCAGCAGAACAGCAGATTTCCTTCCCTTCCTGTTATTCAGCTGTTCTTAGCATCAAGATTAAGAACCCGTGTGCCTGAGCACAGATGACTTTAATGTCACAAGCAAATCAGCCCAGCTGGTCCTGTATCTCGGTGCTCTAAGGGTCAAGAAGAAGGTGATCCAAGTCACTGTGGGAACGCATCCACCCTTAGGCGCTTTAACTTTGCCTGCGGATGGGAAATCGCAAATGAGGCAGCAAACCAAAAAGAAGAGAGAGAAGAGAAAAGCAAAAGAAAGAGGAGAGCAAATTGGAGTCTTTCCACTCTGTTTCACTGTTTACTTTTTGAACAGTGAAAATGCATTTGCTGCCACAGACCTGTAAACTAACAAACCGATCAGAAATCATCAGATTTCATTTTCTGGCTCAGCATCACTTCTTTTATCTACAGCCTAAATGGCAATGCATTTCATGACACAAAGAGCCAATTAATGGCTCCTTGGACTTTCTCTGGCCCCCTGCACTTGGTAATTGGTTTTAATTGCTCTTTTTGTTTTAGACCATTCTCCACCCTCTGTGTGTAAAATATCCCCCTTCAGCCAAGTACAGAAGATGCTTTCTAACTGAACTCATCAAAAAGGTAGCGCTTACTTTTCATGTTGCTTGCTTGTTTTATTTTTTCTTGAAAATATGCCAGTTCTATCTTATGTGATAACAAAATATAGCATTCAGTGTAAAATATCATGGCCAACAATGTATTAAAATGGGACTTAATGCATGTATTTTTTTCTGTTTCATAACAATTTGATACCCAGAACTTCTGTGTTCTCTTTCACACAGCATGAATCTACAGCAGCTGAACCCCTGGATGAATTGTACAATACACTGGCAGATATTTTAAATGAAGAAGAATCTACTCACTGTTACAAAAACTACTTACTGGTAAGAACTAATGCTGCATTTTATAAATCACTTCTAATCTTCTGAACTAAGCAGTAATTGGCTTTAAAAATACCCGCTCCAGAAACCCAGGGTGCTTCCTACCTTTTTCCAGGCGCTAATAGTGATTGTAAAGTGTAAAAGCCATCGTCTGTGCTGATCCATCTTTGCCTTCTTGTGTGTCCTCCAGCCCACGGGAGAATGTGTTACCCTTTCCGAGAGCGTGGCAATTATCTCTGGAGGAACCACGGGGCTCGTCACATGGGATGCTGCTCTTCATCTTGCTGAGTGGGCAATAGAGAATTCTGTGGTTTTCAGTAACAGGTAACGACAGCAACACAGATGGAAAGATGAGGAAAGATATTTTCATTCGTATTGCGAGCTATGCAACTGTAATTTAATAATATACAGTACAGTATTTCCCCCCAAAATAAGTGAAATTACTATACCCTTTTGCTACTGGATAACTGCTGCTCTTGTCCGTTCTGCAACAGTGAAACTTTAATCCAGGAGAGGACCTTGTAGTTCTTTTCAGACAGGTTTGAGATCAAACCATTACACCATGCAGTCTGATCTGCTCTGTAAAGTAGGCTGTCGCATTTCAGCTACCACGCTGTCCAGACAGTAACTTTCACTAGTGCACTTCACTCCGTGATGGGATTCATCTCAGCTAACTTTAGATGATCGATGTGCTAGTGTGCACGTCTGATCTCATCGTCCTGACTTTGTTCATAAGCAGTCGAGAGGAACAAGCACTTTTGAGGAAAGATTCAGCGAAGTGAATATCAACCTCACAAGCACAGGAACTGTGCTACTAAAGTGTCTGTTTCTCTCCAATGACTGTGAAAAGAACTGGACCACCAGTTTAGATGAAGGCAATCCTGCTGCAGAAGTCTAAAAACAGGTGGGAGTGTATCTCATCCCCATGGTGGAAATGCTTTGTACCATACGCAAAAGCAGTATTTCAAGTCATTCATTTTTACGCTTACAATTGCGTCTTCAGTGTTTACCAGCTCTCCCAGTTATTTGAGACAGATTAAACTGTAGATAGTTTAACTCAAAAATTATTGAAATAATCTAACTGATTTTACCTTTAGATATACTTAGAATCTTCTGATTTCCAAACTCAGTTTAGAGTCCTAATAAGTACATCTTTTACTCCATTACCCTTCAGGACAGTCTTGGAATTAGGAAGTGGGATTGGCTTCACTGGAATTGCAATCTGTAAAACCTGCAATCCCAAGACCTATATATTTAGTGACTACCACCACTGTGTTCTCAAACAGCTGACAGAAAACATCCGTTTGAATGGCTTTGTCTTGGAGCCTGAAACTACCCAGCGTATCCAAACAGAGTCCCGAGGCCAGGAGGCAGAAGAAACAAATTGCCAAACCCCAAAACTAACTGTTGCAGAACTTGACTGGGGCTCAGTTACAGAAAAACAACTGTTGGATCTTCAAGCTGATGTCATCATTGCAGCAGGTACTTTACACTTCTGATTAAACCCTTACTGTGTTATTTCATGCAGGAATAAGCAGGTTAGAGAGAGAAGGCAAAGGTATTTGTGTGCAGGACTCACTCAACCCTACTTCAGTTACCATACCTGGAAGTGCATGATGGATCTTCTCACAATTCATTTGACCATTTTGTCTTTTTCAGATATTCAGCAGTTGTGTACGTAACACCAAAAAGCAAATTATTTTTCTCTTCTGCATTTTTTTTTAAAATACAGAAACAGAAGATGATAAATCTGTCACTCTTAAGAGCCTCATTAATAACAATGGGCAATCTTGGCATTCATTTCAGGGATAACATATTGAAAAACCAACCAACCACAAACCTTTTTTGGAAATTGCTTATGTATAAATCTGGAGGGAGTTAATAAAAATTCTAATAATGGAAAATCTAGCAATAGTAGAATTTCTTAGCTGTAGCTACAGGATTTTACTCCCTGATTTGGGGCTTTGCAAAGCAAAAATTACCTAAGAATTCAGGTGAAGAAATGACAAAAACGTACTGCCTTTGTCATCAAAGGTATCACATGATGCATTAAATATGTGAATTCTATAAAATGAAGTCACTGTATGAATGTTACCTAATGACAACTGTACTGTTCAGAGAACACACAAAGCAGCCCAAGTTGGACTCAGGAAAGCAAGGCAACTCAAAACTGAAGGCGATTTATGTGTATCCACTATTTGCTATTACCAGTTACTGCAGGACATTCTCTTATTATGTTGCATCAAGAGTAACCAGTACGTCCGCCAGTGGTATGTGCACATTCCTCAACATCTCTGTGTAGTAAACACCCACCTCTTGAACATCAGTCCTCAACACAACACTGGCACGTTGCAGAATCACAGTGCTAATTAGTAAGGCTGACGTTTTGTACCCCTTAGCAATCAGTCTTGCCTCTCATCACTGTTTCTGCTCTCAAGAAAATTATTCAAGATGAAAAGTGCTGCAGTTCCAATCAAGTCCTTTGCAATCAGCCTCAAACACAGATTTTTAACAATGCAGTTTCGTTCTGTTAACGACAGTTGTAACAGAGTACCAAGGCTCAATGTTTTTGCTGTCTGTCTTAAGATGGGCTTAAATATCTGACAATCCATTTACAAAAAGGAGCACTGATTTTGGGCTGATATTAGAGGTGAGGGCAACTTGACATAGCACATAATAGAGAGGCATTTTCTAAGATCTCTTCTTGGGCATTTTTAACCCCTGAATACAAAAATCATATTCTCCTGCAAGATGAATATTTTATATTTTTGTTTTGTAGTTTTCATTCTGCTTTTTGCTCAATTCTCAATAAATATTGAATGTTTTCCTTTTTGTGCAGATGTGGTATATGATCCAGAGATAACTTTAGCCCTTTCTGGTATGCTACAAAAACTCTCCACTTTGAAAGCGGATAGAAAACCTCCTGAGGTCTACATTGCCTTCACAATTCGTAATCCAGACACATATCACCTGTTCCTGACTGAGCTTGGTAGGTGCATTTTTCATGAGGTGTATCAATAGTTTTAGCCTCTTTCCCCATTACTTAATCTGTAGTAGAGATCAACAGGAGCATTTTTTGGCAATGGGTATTGTCCAACAGTGAGATTCTTACCCTAGAGCTGGATTTAAGAGTGGTCTGCCTAAGAGCAGTAACTTTTCCACATAGATTTGATCAGGAGATTGAAACTTTGCTTTTTCCTTCACAACTCACATCTGTTAAGGCCAACTTGAGATGAATTGCAAGTGTGGTGGCAATAGGGAAGAAAAAAAGAGTTAAGCTTAAAGGAGGAAAACCATCTATGCTGCACTATTACAGTGATAACATTTGAGATGCAGCCTAACACCTTTATCTTATCTTAACTGTTCTTTGAGGGTTAAAAAAAACAACTAGAGATTAAATAAAATAGGGAGGGATTTGGGATTTTTCTTCATACACTCTTCAAAAGCCTATCTTTTGCAGTCTACTAGCTGAACAGCTGGTCTGCGGCAACTGGTTAATTCACAAAATTATGCTGAGTGGCATAGCATTACTGTTAATTTTTAAAAATACATACTCATAAGCATTTGTCTGTAGCTTGCTTTAACAGCATGCTAAAGATCTCTTTTTACAGAATTTGACATGCAACTTTTACTCTTTGTTTTATTAAGCAGAAATACGAATCCCAGTGTTTCTCTTTACAGATAAAGTTGGGATTGGATGGCAGATTATTCCAGCCCACAGCAACAGTGTTTTTCTCTATGACGTGCAGCCAAACATAACTATTCTACAGCTATTTATATAAACTTGGCAAGTATGACATAATTAGAATTTTCAGACCACCAGGAGCTATCTTGTCCTTGCAACAAGATTATCTTGAATTCTAGAAACGTGCATGAGAGGCACTGAGGATACAACTGTATGCACGGACTGTTGTCAAAGTGAGTTACATTTCTTCCTGTAATTGTCAGCATGTATGCAAGCAAGCTGCTACCCCTGAAAAGTATCTGTGAACCTCAAGCAATAGAAAAAAAAAAAAGCCCTAATCATACTGCACTTTGATTCTGTAGAAGACAACAGAATTGAGCTGTATTTTTTTTTCCCAACTGTTGTAAAAAAAATGGAGGCACATCTGCAGGATCACAGGATGAGTATCTAACACTGACAAGGGAGCAAAACAAGTGTTTCATAGTAATAAATATTTTTTAATACTAAAACCAGCTGTAATTGTCTACTCTGATTTTTTTTTTTTTTTAACACGTGTCTGTAGATACTTGCATACTTGCAATATGGGTCATCTTAAAAACTAATAATGAATAATACCTACAGTGAATGTAGTAGATAGTGTCACGAGCTGACATAATGCTGTAAGAGGTAATGGACTCTGCAGTAAAATCAGGTGCATCTCTTTACTCTGCAGTGATGACAAAAATCAGAACTTGATTTACATTTCTCTCACAGGAGGACTGTCATTTTCACAACTGGCTATTGGGAAGCCATCCTCTCAGACTGGCCAGAAAATAAAAGAATTGTACTCTGTAGCAATGCGCTACGTATATTGCGAGGAAGAACTGAGCTCACCTTCCTTGAAACTTTCCATAATCCATTAATAATTTTCCTGTTGGACAGCATTGGTCCTGAAGCAGAAAATCAAATATGCTGCTTTCTCCTCTTTTGACTTCCTTTTCTGTGCCTTGTTTTAAAAGCTACTTAAGAGAGAACGAACAAATACTTTAGCCTCCCTCCTTCTGTAGTAATGCAGAGAAAATGGACAATAGGTTAACTTGAAACTTGAAGAATCAGCTTATTCTTCTAGCTGAAGGAGGCCATGACAGCTAGTACTAAGTTGGATATCCAGAAGTAATCCCACCCCAGGCTTTAGCTACCTCTCACCAAGAAGGAAATATCCAAAGGTACTATTTATAAAGTAAATGCATGCTAGCAGCCCAAACAGAAGCTCCTTTATGTCCCCTTACACAAAATTCTTCAAGTCATTCAAAAGTTCTGTACAGATGGCTCATTTTGGATCTAAAAAAATTTATTATAGGAAGATGAAACCTCTCTAAAGCTTTTGACATTACTGTTTAATTAGAGAAGTGCCTAATTTAGGTTCATGTGCACATCAATGGCTAAAGGGGAATGTCCAAACCACC